ACTCTTCTCTGTCTTTCCCTGTTACATCTGGTGCAAGTTTAACAAATTCTTTAAGTAAAATAATTATCTACCCACCAACAATGATTAGAACGAAAACTCTAAGGTTTCCTCGCAGTTTCTTAAGCCAAAATGTCACTCGTGCATCGTATACCGAATAGTTACGAAATACCAGGATTTTTATCCTTGTGGTAGATGGTTGCATCATCATAATTCACGAGGTTTTCACGTGCAATTCTACTCGGTGAAACAGTCTTTAAGTCCGATAACCTATTTCTCCATGTTTTAAAAGCTATTGCTTCTTAAAAGACAAGAGCCTTTTTTAAGGCATTGGTTACAAAACGAAACAGGTCTTCATATGTTCAAGTCACTATTATTATTGTGAAAAACCAATCTGCATGAGATGCACAGTCACACAGCTGGCACCTGAAATTGTTGGACTTTGCCCCCTTTCGTGGTTCGTGTGCACACCGCTCGCTATAAAGAATTGACCGAAACTGGAAACCGCGCATCAAAAGTCTAAGGCATCCAACCTGATTTGTGTTCGCACAACGAAATATTCATCGCAAGTATTAGACGTTAAGAAGAGGAAATTGAGTTTGAAACTCTCAAGAAAAAAAGCAAATGCGCTGTTTCCGAACGAGAAAAATTCCTGGAAAAAGAAAAAAAATACCTCGCACATTTGTATAAACAATTGAAGCCAGCCGCTTACTTAAGGTTTCGTATTTCGCGCGCGATAACTTTTGCCTTTGGCTTTCACGGTGTGTCAGTATTAAATATCCGTTAGTTTAAATGAGGCTATCAGCAGTAAGAAAATCTCGATCTTTAATCTAAAAGTGAAATTTTGACTCCAATGCTGTAATCCGTCTTAAAGGAAATTTATTCTTCAATTATGAGGGGAACGAGTTGATCAAAAAACATGTCAACAACTTAAACCTTTAGCGTGCTAATTACTATAACGGCAGTTAAACTTCAAATGTTTGGAGGCGAAACATGTCACGTTCACGTTAGAAAGGAGACCACGCGGGTTACGGAAACAACAAACAAAAATAACCTTGACATCGCAAGCGCGAACTTCAAACAGATGTCAAATAATTATTATGGGGCACTGAAACTCGCTCTCTTAGCTTGTTCTCTCTTGATGTTGTATAAAAGGCTTGGGAGACGCATTTACGTACATTTGTTTGTACGAAGCTGTGTTTTTCATATTTAGGAGTAGTTTCTGCACTAACACTGAGTTCCATAGAAACTAAGGACGCCTAACTGGCAATACTGAAAAAAAAAAAAAAATGAACATGACGGCCGTGACACAGCCTCTTTAAAGATACACCTAATTGCAATAAGGCTGTGATAGAAAAAAGTAAAAAGCCAAATAGGAATTAATTAGCATTAAATTATCATTGCTTGCAACATTCACGACACACACGCTTATAGCTGAATATTAATCATGTAATATCGGGGTAATATGAAAGCCACATCATTTGCATCAGTTTCTTGGTGTCATTCTAATGCAATTCGAGGCTGATTCATCTAGCGGATTTCAAACGTGCTCTAATTACAAACGTACATCGGATAACTACTAAAGAAAAAATGGCTCCATTTTTTTTCAATAAATATAGCCTGGGGTAAATTCCAGGAACGCGACGCGTCTTTTCGTTTAATGCTAAATAGAAAAGCCAGTCTGCGTATGGTTTGTAGTGCACAACACCATCAGATCACAATTTTCAAGCAACAAATCAGGGATGTAGGCAGGACTTTCCATCGCGGAGAGGGTGAGGCGTTCCTCCGCCAGTTCCTCTCCCGCGCCACAAACCAAGCCTCGTTTGTCAGGACCCTTTTGTTACACACATCAGTGTTTCATGTGCGGAATCTTACAGCGCGGAATTACAGAATTATTTCTTGTTATTGTGAATGACTTCTTAAATAATTGTTAAATTATTAAAATACGCAAATGTAAATCACATGGCTAATTAATTCCTATTCGGCATTCTACTTTTTGCTTTTTGCTTTTTTCTATGACAACGTTATTGCAATTAGGTGTATCATCTTCTTTGAACAGTTAAGCTTAATGTAGGATATGTAAATATTTAGGTCTACCGTCCCCAACCCCCATGTTTGTATAATCGAGCATGCGCTGTGACTGGTATGATGATTAGACTACACATGTGTGCACGAGTTAGCAATGGTGTGTGTTAGTGGTTAAATCTGAATCAATTCTTGGTTAAATCCGTAAAGACACTACACTTAGTCCACTGTATGCTCCCTACCAAACCTGCCTATTCAGCGGAAAAAGCTTAGAATTTACATGAATCAAACTAATCCCGATCAGTCATTATGAATTTCTCGTTTCTTTTCAGATTACGTGATATTTTTCTTTGCCTTGGGTTTTCTGATGCAGGAATTCTTAGAGGCAAAAAGACAGGGATCCTATGTTTATATGTCAAAATGGTGGAATATTGTGGACATGATTATCATCTTTACCTTTCTTGTGAGTTATATAATGTGGTTGATCTCTTGGGGGCGTTTTGAAAAATGGGATCCACGGAAAGAAGTTTTTGTAATAGCCGATGTGTTGTATGCAAGTGCCACGGTGGTGGCCTTCTTTCACTTAACGCACATTTTCCAGGTAAGTTAACAAATTGAAAGAGGCTAATTGTTACGAACATTTTGCTGTTTTGGGTCAAGTTCTGTGCTGAAGTCATTACTTAGCGCTTTACCCTTATAGAAAATGCTCCCGTAGAGCTATTTAGAAGATTTCAAACAAATGTCATCAAGAAGCACTAACCAAAATATTTTTTGGTGATTTTGCAGATATAGCATTAAACCTTGAAAAAAATGGCCCAACTTTTTCAAGTTTCAGTCCATGTCCGTCCTTGCCATCCGTTGAAACAGACGACATGAAATAGTTTCAGTGCCTAAATATAGTCTTGAATGACAAACCTGGACCATTACTTTTGGAATACAATTGGCTTTTTCTGAAGATAGCAAGTAGCATGACATAGCCCTTTAAATCCAAGAAAAGACCATAAAAGCGATGTTATCTGCTGACGAATCCTAGCATGTAGCATATTAAGTTGATAGCCAATGTTTCAAGCGGTAATGATCTAATTATGTAATTACTGATGAGAGACAAAGTTTACTCGTACTGAAACTTTTCTCTGCCTGATCTGTATCATTCCTTGTGTAAAAAAGTTAACCTGTCAAAGCTCCGAGCCCGTTGATTGCTTGTTTTCACGCGATGATTTTGATTGTTCTGTTATTCAAATATGGTGCACCGATAAAAGCAAAACTGTGATTGGATGAGTCACCATACCGCAAACGTGGCGCGAACACCTTCCAGAAAATGGGAGCTGAATTCTAATTGGCTAATCGCGGGAAAGGAATGTGGTTCAATTTTCAGCAGCGTTAGTGTGGAGGAGAGTTGCGTGACGACACACTAAAAACGGCTGTGTAGCAGACTAATAATCTCCGAGAGAAGTAAAAAATTCTGTTTGTTTGAAATCGACTAAAACGAAAATATATTTCAAACCTTAAATTTTCAAAAGCCTTGATAGATTATTTAATAAAAACGTTATAAATGACTCAAATTATTCTTAAGTTGCGTCAGAATGTTGCCTAATATCATATTTTGATGCTAGAAAATTTTGATGTATTTTCGTTCTTGCGATCTTGAAAACTAATTCATTTTCTCACCACCTGTCTAAGTGCAACTTCATTCAAAATTTGGACTTTTAGCGCTTTTTTGTATATCTCTGAAACGACTCGAGCCAATTTTTATAAAATCTCTTCACACAATCTTCATAATGTATATAATAAGGTCTGAAACTTTCATTAAGATTGATTCACTGCAACACCTTGAAATTTCAAGACAAACCTATTCTACTTCCCGGTCAAAATTCTGCGTTACAACATTCACTGTTTTGATGTTATGCTAATTTTCCCAAAAATAATGCGCACTATACATACCTCCATGACTAGTACATTTTAGTTTGAATTTATCGCATCTTTTGAATCTAAAACATTGACAATACTCACACTGAACTGTCTAGATCTGGTCTAAATCGCGCAAAACTAGGCGTTTATCAGTTTCATAGTTTTTTGTTTATTGTTGTCGTAATAATATCGATCTTACTAAAACCCACATTTTGACAGATTTCAATCGATAGTCAATCATTGGTGAAAATTTATAGCGATCAGACATGGATAAAACTACTTTTAAATCGATTGAAAAGTATCGGTATGGCCTCTGAAAAACTGTATCGAAATACCCTAAGTCATTCAATTTTAACGATTTCACGAACTGAGACTTCGGCGAATTAAGGTATTCAAAACTTTTACGACGACAATGGAACATTTATGTGATAAAACTGGAGCCGCCCATGGTCAAAATAATAAACGTCATTAGCTTCATTAAATCAAAATAATACAACGTTCTGTATCTTAATTTTGGACGAAACAAACGAAACTCAATGCTGTCCTCACTCGTATTGTGCACGAGACATCCGATACACGTCATAGTCAACCGTCAAATAGCATATTGTGTGTGAAACTGACTGTCGTATAGACTGACCTTGAATTTTGAACAGCATTATTGTTGTAACTTTAAGGTTGCCGTGCGGTCATGTCGTAAATGTATGCGCGCGCAAGTCATATGGTAGAGACTGTATCTGAACATTCTCGTCCCCAGAGCGTGTCGTTTCTTGGTCACGTGGTCGGGAAACGAGGGGCTCTGGAAGCAGCCGTTACCGGATGCCAGAAAGTTTCTGACATCCGGTCGCACATGTGCAGAAGTTGCAAATATCACTGCTCATGTTCATAACGGATTTTTATCCCTCACCGCTCCACTGGGGGAAAATTTTACTTCCTGAGCTCTTTCCAGATAGCGGCTTCTTTGGGATGTTTTGAAAATGCACCACTTCACTCAACTTGGATTCACCGATAATTTGGAGTTAAAAGAAGAAGACAGTCACAGAAACCGGCTGAACACACTGTTGGTTTGCAGAACTGAGACAATTAACCGGCAGACTATCGTCTGAGTTATATGAGTTTTTTTTTTCAATACGTTTGGCGAACAAACACTGGGAAAGTAATATCGCGAAGATCGATATAATGCAGGAAAAAGTCAATCTAAAAAGGTATCTTGTTCCATGTCCTGCAACTGCTATCTTACTTATGAACACTTTTTGAAACGAAACCATTCATGTGTTGTGTTAGGAGAGTAAAATATATATTTCATTTCACTCGATCGAGCTGGTTGTGTTTTTTCCTATGTTTATTTCCTTTTGTGGTGTCGCATGTCGTGGTTTTAATTTTGCCCATGAGCTTTTGCGTACAACACGTGTTAGACAACCGAAGGATTTACGTCGAAACAAATCAATATTAATCATTTTACCGACCCAGGGTAAAAAACATATATGACAAGGTTTGTCCAGGAGAAGTGACAGTCTAATACACCTCCATGGGCTTCCATGCATGGCAACTTTATACAGTACTGAGTGAATCAAATTCCAGTTCAGTTTTCTCTGTATATCAACCCTAACTGAAACTTGAACCCGAGTTTCCTAACCCTAATCATAAAACTTCTGTGTCATTTGGTGTTTCTGGGGGCCATTCGGTGTTCTGCTAAAAGGGTTTATCCTCCTAAAGATTTCAGGTATCATCTCCTAACTAAAAATCATCATCAGTAACTCAAAGAGAGAGTTTTCAATAATTTTGCTGTCAGACTCAGAAAATCATTAATACCTGAAAAATGTTGATTGTGTAGTGACCATCACCATAATGTTCAGTACACATGCATGACCAAACCTCAAAACCACAAAGTGATTACCACTGCTGTTTGAGGTTTTGTTTTCTCACCCAATATTAGCTTTTTCTTTGCAACGCCATAGCATCCTTAATATTTGTGGTATTCATGGTTTTGTAACTTTCACACTATAGGTGACCTCTTGTCACCTCTTTTGTAGGGGTATAGACAGTTATATGCACTTTTGATTACCGGTTACTAATAAAAAGTGTTCCCAGGACACTAGTTTAGTAGGAAGAGATGGTAATTATGCAAATGTATCCAGAGAGAAACCTGTTTAAGTACCACTTATGAGCTCATTGGTTACACATCTTTGGAAGGGGTTTTAAGGGTATTTGTTTTCTTAGGGGAGGGCTTATAACCAGGGGGGGCATTTTTTATTGCTTACTGGTAAATGGGCCTATAACTGGCGGATTTGTATGTGGGGGTAGGAGGCTTAGAGAAGTAGTTTATGGTAACCTGTTCCAGACATTCAGGCATTGGGGAATGCACAAAGAGAAAAAAACAAGAAAAAACCCTGCATTTTTTATTGCTCTACTTTTCACCATCTGAATGCCTAGAACAGTTTATCATAAGCTCTATAGCTGTCCTTTGTTATCTGGAACAGTGAAATGTAGACTGATATACACACTGTATATAGACTGTATGGTTTAAGAGATCCCCCCTAAGAAGTACACTTTGAGTAACACACAACCCGAAAACATTTTCTTAGGTAGCTTCTCTCATCATGTTTTGAGAGTGGAGTGCAAGACCTGGTTTGAAATTGGGGATAGAATTTTGGATCAGGCCCGAAATAGGATAGTGAAAATCACATAGGTTAGTCAAAATTTGGCAAGGCAAGAACCATACTGCAGGGCCAACCTGAACTGCTTTTTGGGGGGGTAGTGCCCCACCCCCAATCTGTACCCTCTGCAGTTGTATTGAAACTGAATGTGGTGCTTTATAGGGTTAAAATACAATATCTCCTCACAGCTTTTGCTAATGTATAATTGTTTAGTTCCCATAAAATTCATTATTTTGTGTTATAACATGAGGGTTTCCAACTAAGAAATGAATCAATGACGAGTGGAAGCAAGTTTTAATTTGGCCCATCATTATTTGTCAATAACCAAGTAAACTAAGATGCCCTGTGCCTCAGTAAGCCAATGCTGTGTGCAAAGCTCAAGGAGGGGTGGAGAGCAGGTGTGGTTAGGATTAGCGAGTAAACTATTGATATTACTATTGCTCAAGCTATTATGTTACCCGCCCTATTAAAGGTGACATACTGCAAAAACCACATGTTATCATCAACAACCACTTGCCCCAGTATGGTGCAAAGTAGACTCCCTTAGGATGTTCTTCATTTATTATTTTATTTATCAGCACCTCAGTTGTCCATAACATTGTCAATAAATCTAGACCGGTTTTGTTTTTCAAACAGTTAAGTTTTCTCTTAAACCAAAATGTTGAGAGCCTTGTGCTACCTTATGTAGTGATCAGATATATAACATAATTATTTATCAAAAAAAAATTGTGCAAATCATAGCTCCTTCTTTGCTGTTCATCAGAAATAATCAATCCCAGAGCCCCTTGTTCATCTCTCCCTGAATGCTACGTGACTGGAAGCCAAGCAAGGACAGTTAGGATGAGAATATTTTCTTGCACAACATTTGTAACAAGTCGGCCACAGAGCCTTTTAGAGCCGAATTATCTAAACATGATTTAAGCATTAATTAAGTGGAAGAAAACGTAAATTGGAAAGAGTACTTGCTCTATCATCTTTACACAATTAAAAAATTGCCTTTTCCACGCAGCCCAAAATGATTCATAAGCAATTCAGTTCTGGCTTTATGCACTGCCATCAGTGGTCTAATGAAATAAAGGCATATAACAAAATATTAATATCTTGACCTTAGTATAGCAAAGGAGATGTTCTTTCGGCAGAAAATACAATAAATCAAAAGCACACTGCAATAAACTTAACGTACATATCATTTCTGTAATGTAGTCGGAGCTTGATTTCCTTTCCCACTGTAGCACCGACGAATATCCAGAGGAATTAGAAAAACTGATTAGGCTAATTAATAACGCCATACAAGTACAGTATCAATCGCTTGATTTTTAACGAGCAAGGAGCAATAGGAAGAGCTAACTAACCATTACTCCTCCTTTCAGTTTCCCAGTAGATGCGACGGTCGAGATAGGGGCAAAGTTTAGCGCACAACGAAGGCAATAATTTCTTTGTCAAGGCTCGTTATAATTATCTTCGTAGAAACTTTTCAAACTTTACCTACAATTCTCTTCTTCACTGCTACTGCATGTAAACAAAACAGGATTGTCGCAATCAACGAAACTCAGACACGGATCTTATGTTTGTAGGTCGAGAGGGCACGAGTAAAATGTTATGCGCAGTAGATTATATTTTTAATTTTATTTGCGCATTCAATTGTCCTCAGACAATGAAAAAAATCGTATTTTCCATTGCGTCCAGAGCCACTGGTCGGTTACAAATTAAGCCGAATGTCTCTGGGGACGAGAATGATATCTGAACGCCATCTTGAATTATACGTTCTTTTTATCATTGAAGTTCTGTTTCTTGTTTTTTCGCTTGCCTTAGTTTCTTTTCTCAACTGACACTAGCAGACTGTGTCAAGGCCCGCACGACAGCACTCACCAAATTGGCAGAATTTCATATTGTACCCACTTTTATACCACTACATGGGAAATTTCTGCAATCTGATTGGCTTAGAGCAGCAGTATTTCAGTTTAATTTGAAATACCTACATGTAAAAATTAGAACCCTTTTGCGGGTAGTAGTATAAACAGTATAGTATGATTTGTGCGTGATATTTGGCATAAATACCACTCGTGATATTTCAAAATTGTTCCAAATTTAATAACAATTTAAATAACAATTTCGAAATATCACGAGTGGTATTTATGCCAAATAGCACTACAAATCAAGCTATTACCTATACTAATTTAGCGACGATTTAACTTTAGTGACACTTAATTTTGGTGTCGCCAAAATTACATGTAATAAGGTAGGTTGCTGTGAAAACAGATTATTTAAAATTTAGATTGTGTGCCTTTTTCAAGCGCTAGTTGTTCTACGCAATTTCATGTAAATAACAAAAAGAGCTTCGTAATTATTGGAGGATGTATATTTCATGATGCAAATGCTTTGAGTGCACGAAATAAATCTTTAGAAATGTAAGTTTTCAAAGTATAATTACCAAGTAAAAAATAAAATCTCGGAAGGATTGAGAATGTTGATGACAAAGCACGTAAATTAGCTATAATTGTTGGCTTTCATATAACGTCACCAAAATTCAAACTAAGGAATTCTCAAATCTTCCTGAGTTCATACTTTATATTTAAGAACAGCTCAAAGCCAATCTTTATACAAATTTTCACGAGAGAGAGGCTCATCGTTCTGTGATTGAGTACGCATGAATTTCCAAGCTTTCACGTGACGAGGCATTTACAAAGCGGACGAGAGAGCCGTCAGAACAGTTTCTTGTACAAGAAAAATAATTACTTTCATATCTATGGGCATCAATTTGGAAACATTAGCATAACGTCAAAACGGTAACGCGGATTTTATTGGCCGATTCGTAGGCAAGGTTCGTCTTGAAATTTCAAGGTGTTACAGTAAATCAATCTTAATGAAAGTGTCAGGCTTAAGCAATAGAAAACGTTTTCAGTGTTTGCATAGCCTGATATAAACGCGAGAGGGGTTGGGAGAATTCGAGACAGTGTTATGCAAACCAAACTGTCGAGAATTCTCTTAACCGCTCGAGTGTTCAGGCTGTGCAAACACAGGAAAAAAGTTTTCTATTGCTTTTATAAAATAACTTTCCCGAGAAAAACGCAAAACTCTCTCTTATGGCCCTGACTAAAAGAGAAATTGTTACCAGTCACAAAATCTTGTACACGAAGTCTGCCTCGCATAATCAGTTCTTGTTTTACAAAAAGATGCTTTCCAAAATACGGATTTTTCTCACTTAAAATGTCAGCTTAAGCGAAAAAAAAATTGACACAGCTTGTTTGTAAAGATTTTCCAAGTTTCAGCCCACGAAGGAATGGGTAAATAAAGTAAACTTGTCGAGTTTTGAACTCAAAAACTTTTTCAAAGTTGTGCTTGCGTGATTAGCACACGACAAGCAAAACATCTTGACGTCACAACCATGTTCACATACTCTCATGCAAACACTCCTCTCGGCCAATCAGAGCGCGCGTACTATCTTAGTTATTTTATAAATAATTATATACATCATGAATAAGGTTATGTGATGAGACTTAAAAAGAACTCTGTCGAGCCGTTCTAGAGATACTCATAAAAGCGCTAAAAATCAAAATTTAGAGTAAAGTTGCTCCTAGACAGGTGGTGTGAAAACAGGTTAGTTTTCAGGATTGCAAGAAAAAAAATACACCAAACTTTCCTTGCATCGAAGTATGAGGTTAAGCTGCCTTTTGACGCTACTTAGGTAGGTTTAATGTGAGTTATTTAGAACCCTTTTATTAAACATTTTATCACGACTATTGAAAATATAAGGTTTGAAATACATTTACGTTTTGTTTGAATTCAAACATACAGAATTTTTTACTTCTTACGGAGTTTATTTGCTTAACACCACACTTTCGCGCAAAATTCGGATATAATTCGATTTCAAAGTTTTTTGTTTATTGTTGTCATAGTGATATCGATTTTACTAAAAACTGCATTTTAACAAACTTCTATTCAAAGTCAGTCACTGCTGAAGATTTTGTAGCGATCTGCCAAGGACAAAAATTACTTTTAAAACGATTGAAAAACATCAGTATGGTCCCCGAAAATCTGTATCGAAACATCTTAATGAACGTTACCAAATTGTATAATTAATTATAAGCATAATTTTAAGGTTTAGTATGTCAAGTAACCTGTAAGTATTAACACTGGAGCGCTACTTTTAGCCTTGGCAAAATTTATATCTTATACTCATTTTGTCTGGTCCCAAATTTTCCAGATAGACTCTGTTTTGGGTCCTCTGCAGTTGTCCCTCTACAAGATGCTCAAAGATGTGGGTCGATTTCTGTTTATTTACCTCTTGCTTTATCTGTCGTTCGCGACCGGCGTTGTGAAGGTGTATTCCTTCTATGTCACCTCACAGATAGAATTACAGAAGCAGAACATGACAAGCGACCCACAGGACTCCCATCCATATGACAAGTATGTACACATTTAAACCTTGTGTATGTTGACCGCTTATTAAGCGAGCTTTTTAAAAGGCGTGAAGTTGTTGTTACAATTAAGTATAGGTATTTAAGGAAACCGGAGAGTCTCAACGACAATTCATTAATACGTACACTGTTCTTTCTCAAATCATAAATGTGTCAGTTTTTCCAAAGGTATATTATAGCCGTCAGGTGATAGCATGTCGTAATTCACAGTGCTACGGTAGACACGACTTAATAAGCAACTTTTTGAGCGTTTTCACTGCCATATAGTCCACAGAATAACGGCTTTATGTAAGCTTAGAATGTCGGGATTGACGGTGCGATAAAATCCACGGTGTTTCATTTCTTTATACAGTGAAACCTCTATTTAGCGGACCCCCAATTAAGCGGACACCCTCTATTAAGCGGACACTAAGCCGGGTCACGAAATTAACGTCTTATAGTTCCCTTTATAAACGAACCCCTATTTAGTGGACACTTCTATTAAGCGGAGGCGGACACTAAAACAGATTGTATTTGGCAAATTTCTGTTGTTTAAAACCTCTATTAAGCGGACACCGGACTGAATTGACAATAGTATTATTGGATTACGTCCTTGAAATACGTACTGTAGTCGATTAATAAAGATAAATCAATACATTTAGCTGTCAATAAACTGAGTAGGCCGATATCCCACCGTATGATTGTCATCCGCGATCAAATTTCACTTAAAAGTCTTGCACAAAGTCCAGCGCCTTCTTAACAACATGGAACTTTATCACAGTACAAAGTAACCGTTATATGTTAATCGTTAACAAACATTGCGCAATTTTTGCAAACCTCTATTAAAAGGACACCCACTATTAAGCGGACACTTGGGCAGGTCCCGTAGGGGTCCGCTTAATAAAGGTTTCACTGTATTCTGTTTCAACATACGTGTATGTTTAATTATGATAAATAACAGGCCAGGAGCCGTTTGGTAAGGACACCTCTCATTAATACGGATACCCTCCCATTAGTGCATGTCCGTATCAACGGGATTTGACGTTTCCATTTTTCTTTTCATTCCCAGCCATCCCAATTCCCTATTGGCCTTGTTTTGGTTGTTGCTGGGTCTTGTTGAAGAAGGTGATATCGCTGTCAAGGATCCCAGCTTTCGTCTTACGTCTGCCTTTGGTCGTCTGTTTTTGATGGCGTATGTGATCTGTACTGTGATTGTAGCCTTGAACATGCTGATTGCCATGATGAACAACTCATTCGAGAAGATCATGGTGAGAGAGTAGTTGTTTTGTTCAACCCAAACGCTAAAAGATAATTCTGTTTAGACATGTCATAACCCTATGCAAAAATAATGGGCCATTTGCACGATGACGTCTCTTTAGCTTGTATGCGTGTTTTGTTTTGCCAATACAGGTCATTTGATAATACGCAAAAGAAGCTGCTTCTTTCAAATTTCCTCTTATTCATGTGTATGTGTGCGCATAATTTAGGAAGAGACAAAGTTCAGTCCCATTGAGGTTTAAATAACAAAAGCCTTAATTTGCACAAGAAAGCAATACCCTGAAGGATTCTGGTAGAAGTAGTAGAATGGCGCCATCGTGAAAATGGATTATTAAAGAGCACAGCAGAAACCCGCATATGATTTAATGGAAAGCTTCAATCCCACATACCTGGGAAACCCGGGATACTCCTGGAAATTCTTGGTGGGGGTGTGCCGCCCAGTTCTCCCAATCCTGGCCCTATTTCAGATCAAAAAATGTCATTTTCACACCCGTTTAGAGACCTGGTGTCTAAGAAATTATATCATCATTACTTAGATTAGAATGCCAAATAAAAAATTTCTTAAACCACTTACAATTCGTATATTACTTTTTCTTTCTTATGCACTTGTAATTGAAACGACAAATATGTTCATACACTGCCGTAGTTCCCTCACTGAAAAGCTATACCTGATTCCAGACCAAAATGGGCAAAATGTATACCCCTTTTTAGACCGAAATGGCACAATACCCATACTGTTTGGGGAGGCACATACTAATATGGCTTATGTAAGAGAGGTCTTGCCACATATGGTTAAAACAAAAATGATTTCATAAACAAATGAAATGATTTCTCACGATCGTTCTTCATTTATTTGAAAATCTAGCTAATTATTTTAACTAACACCAATGGAAATAGATAGATTTGTCATCGGAAAATAGTGTGTTTACGTGGAGTTTAGTGAATGTGTCTCAAAATCCAGACCCCAATTCTAGAAACTAGCTGATACTCAGTACAGAAGCTTCTGTCATTAAAAGAATTACTGAAGCCTTATATATGGAGAGGGAAGTGGAGGTTGGAAAAAACACGATGCTTCACATATCATCATTTCCTTATGTAGGACAATGCAGATGTTGAATGGAAGTTTTCAAGAGCACGGATGTGGCTGGAGTGGATTGACAAAGGAAGCACGATACCAGTGCCTTTAAACCTAATTTACTACACTCTTTTTGGGCTGTTTAAGTTTTTTGGCTGGTTTTTGAGAATCTCTGTTAAGAAATGTCCATGTTTTAACCAGGTTTGATTTTTTAATTCTATATTGATACCCTATATAAGCTGGACTACATAAATTAAATACTCTCGGTTATCGATGTCCACTAACTAGATTAATCCACTATTAAAATTATTGCGCAGGGGAATTACTCACCTGGTAAAGGTCAAAGGAAAATTTCGTTGACCCTACTTTACACTGATTTTTTTTATTTTTTTAAAACTTCCCGTTCCTATTCCTTGCTTTTGACAACTTCTGGCCATCCATCCAGCGTTTTGGGCCTGTCTGATGGACTGTCTTATAGCATCGGCTTTGACCCAAATTCCCTTCTATCTTGGCGTCTACCCTGATTTAGTCACGGTATCTGCCTTTGTACGTCTTAAGGCTAAAATCTAGCTTGAACGTTTCTTTTAGTCACTACCTGTTGTTACAACCTTTACTGGATAATGACTAGACTGCCAGTTACACTTTCATTACTTAATAATTTGTTTTGTCTTTTGTAGGAAGATGAGGAGGGAAATGGGCAGGGAGATCGAGTAAGTACACCTATAGATTGCATTGTTGTGTTCAAAACATGATTTGCTCCAGTTTTCGTCTCGACTATGAAGCAGTTTATCTAGTGAAATATCTCGAGCATGTTAAGGCGTGGCTCACTTTTTGTTATGGACCACACCCGTGAGGTTTAAACTGTTTTTCTCTAGAAACCATACTTTTTAATTATAAAATCGCTAAAATTTATTTGGGGAAACTTTATTTTGATGCGTTTACTTGACTAGGATTGAACTGATGATTTCACCTGAATCGTAGCGTTTTATAAATATTAAAAAAAAAATTGGATGTGTGGGAGGAATGTCAATTAAAACTAAAACCGAACCATTTGTAAATGTTTGATTTGGTTACCTTTTAAGTATTTCCGCGGCCGGAATGGAAAAAAAGTTATTTTAATTATTAAGAAAAAATGAAAAATAAAAAATGTCACGTGACCTGTTTTGCTTAATTATTAATGAAATGAAAAAATAATCAACCATTCCAGCTAGATTCATACGAGGAACAATAATACAACAACTGAACTTAGTATCTTCTGTCGGGCATCACGCCACCGCAAACTTCTCTTTCGTAAACGGTCGCTACCATGTTTCAGACACTTCAAAATTTTTTATCTGTTATCCAGAGTGGTCCTCTTAAAAAGAAATACGATCGCAACCCAGAGTTGAACCGGAGCCTTTCGTATTCTAATCTTTCTCCCTTAAGTGAATAACAGGTGACAGGGGCGGATCCAGGATTTTTTTTAGGAGGGGGTGCACTCGTCTCTTGCTCTACTTCAACACCAATAAACCACCTAGTTTTTTTTGGAGGGGGTGCGCACCCCCTGCACCCTCCCCCTAGATCCGCCCCTGGGTGAGGTGACCCTAGCCATTTCCATAGCTTTTGACGTAAATTTAACTTGGGCTTCAACGTCGCTCTTTCTAAGACTATTGAAAAACGGATCATTTGCCTTATTATACAAGGACAGGTCAGGTGACCCAAACATCTGGTTTCTTACGTAACACGAGATTTAAGGCTGCCGATTTTTCCAAGGTTAGCAAATTTTGGAAAGGTCTGGTAAATTTTCACAAAGTTATCGTCATTTCTTGGTTTTTATCTCTTTGAGCGATAATGCAGTATTCTGTGCTTGGTCTAGAGTAGAAATTTTAAGCGCTAACAAAGGAACGTTCCTGAGATAAATAAACTGCAAAAGCACCTGTTTTACGTAGGTCACAGAAAGCATGGGCGGTCAAGCAGTAAACCCGAGCGAGGGCCTTACAGGCGACTGAGGCCGGCGCAATTCGCGCAAAAATTTCATCTCTGCGCTTCATTAGCGCCTTGAAAAAACTGACGTTGAGAAAACTGGACTGTTTTTCAGTCTGTGATTGAAAGCTCTTCACAAATCTCAGAATCGTCTAAAGTAACAATTAATAGGTTGCAACTTGCTATTCGGAACCTTTGAATTTTACTGCTGTGTCTTCATGATTGTTATGCTTACCACCGATTATTAGCTTAATTGGTTGGATAAAAGACCTAGGTGTGGAGGGCCCGGGGGCTTTATTCCCAACCGGACAAACACTCAGAGTCAAACTATCTGAGGAGCACGTGCAGCATACTCACTGTGCTCTGAAATGTACTAAAACAAGTCATTTTTGCTCTTATATTCGACTTAACTTTACGCAGAAAGATGAGACTGCAGGCAAGAGAGCAAGCAATGTTTGATGCATGCAGTTTTTCTCATCACGATTCCAATACGATTTCTATCATGTTTTCATCGGCAATTCAACCATACGATTATGTTCAGTAACTCCCTTCTTCCGACAAACCATATGTAGCAAGTTGAAAATCGCCCTTCCACTGGCCTAAGCTAAGTGGTAGATATTCAATTATATTTAACAAAATACTCACAAATGGTGGTTATTAGATTTTATTACAGCTAATCGTTAGAAATTGGAAATAGCAGCTATATAATTGATTTAAACTATTAGGAATTAACAGGGTGACCGACTGCTAATTCATATAATTTTTAGGCACGCTATATACAGGAACGAAAGGAGACAATGAAAGATTTGATCGTGAAATACCTGAAAAAACACTATTTGGAAGACAACGAAGAAGAAAGAGCTGACAGGTACCATGATGAAACAAAGGACGTCACAGATGAAGCAGCCAGACTAGACAAATCACCAAAAAATATACAAGAAAACATCAGTCTATTGAGAGAACTGGTGGATCGCCAGGCGAAAGAACTAACTAAGCTAAATAAGAGGCTTGGCAGCTTGGCTAAGTAATTCAGATATATTGACAACAACTGTAACAACCTTCAAAAGTAGGTTGAGTTTGATCGTCCGGGTGAACGTAGTCCTGAATAGGACTGTTGTTGTTGACAGTGACTGACGTATCGACAAACTGTGCGGTAGTCATCTTCAGAGTCAAAGTGAGTTGTATCACGTCAGTTGATGGTATTATACTCCGGTTAATTGTTGATCTGATTGGTCAATTACGTCGCGATGTTATTGGTCGTCTGTCAGTTAAGCCGTGATGTTATTGGCTATGAAGACTCGTAATCAGTAACTGGTGCGTTTCGATCCGTCTATTGTCACAGTTAAACAGTCGTCTATTGTTAGTCAAATTGTCAGCTCTCCAGTCGTTCCCTCGTAGTTAGTTTTGCTTGATCTCGTCAATAAGTCGTTTGTACGGCGCTGGTAACTGTTGGCTACGATTCAGTGGCGTTTGTTCTAAGTTAGTAAACCAGCTTTCTAAAGTAAGACGTTGATAGTAGTTTGTAGAATACGTTATACACGTCGCAGAGTCCCAGTCAATTTGATGTTTCGTCTGTAAATGGTGCTCAGCAATGTGCTTGTTGACGTCACCACTCCTCGTTGCTCGTTTGTGTTCGGTCAGTCGCGTACTAAGGTTTCTGCGGTTTTACCAATGTAAGAAGCCTGGCAGTCGTAGTATTTGATCTTGTATACTATCAACGTCTTACTTGGATCAATATTGTTGGAAAATAATACAGCTTGTTCCGATTTTTTCAAGTCTCTGAATTTGGAGTACTTGGCGTCTACGTCTTGAAAAAAGTGTTGTCTTAAATTTTTATATAAATTGCATCCGAATAGAAAATGAATTTCATTCTCTACTTTATTCGACGAGCAAAGCCGACATATACTAATATTCTAAGGAATTTTAGGAAAATGGTATCTATCAGTTGTGATTACTTGATCCTAATTTTGCTACTGCCTGACGATGTTTTTCGTTTTCAATAAGGTCTAAATATTCTGTTCTACTGACATTAGCCTTAAAAGTGGAATGGAAATTCAATTTTTTGCAAGATTGTAACATGTCCATTTGATCCTTTTTGAAGTAATCTATGATAGCTTGTTTTATTTTCGGCAGCTTCGAGTTAACCAATTTTGGCTCTACAAGAATACTAGTGCCGTAGCTTCATGATTTCGTGAAAAGTTGATTTGAAAGTAAAAGGCATTGCTTTGCAATACTAGAATCAGGTAGAAAAACAAGAAGTAACCAAAATTTTATAACGGTTATATTAATGTGAGATTTAAGTGATAGTCTTCCTGCTTCAGTACAGATATAATATTTGTTGCTCTGTTATTTAGGCCAATAAAATGTTTTTAAATGTTTTTTTTTTCATTGCAAGTAAAACACACACAAAAAAGGAAAAAAATTACACAGAATAACTAAAGTAATAAAAAGAAAAAAAAAACCAAAATAAACAAACAAACAAATAGCGAACGAATTTACACACTTGCATGGCAATACTTACAAATATTAAACTATATTACAGCAGTGGTAATTCCATATATTACTATACTTCGTATTATCTATAATTAACTTTTACAATTGTTGTTTTTGTTTTTGTTTTTTGTTTTGCTTTCTTTGTGGTGAAAGTATTCATGGTAGGTTCAAATATTACTAATTTATGTTTTTGGAGTTAGGAGACAAGACCCAGCGAGGAAAAGAAAGGTTTCCATTTAATTTTATTGCTCGGTGTCTTATTTTTCTAATTGGTATATATGTCTCAGATAAAACCACAGGCGGCCCAGACGTAGTATGTGTCACTGAATGAATATATTAATATCCACATGGACAAATTAATGCGATGAGTCGTCGAAACTCCCATGGACTAAAATAGTCTAAAAGTCAAAATATAACAAAACAAAGCTAAGATACCTTCAACTGAACGTATCCTTGTCTTTCCTGGCCGGTTTAAGTGGAATTTTGTTGAGTTTTGAAACTGTAGGTACTATCCACTAAAGACGAATTAAAGGCTGGCTACAAAACAAACAGACCATCTCCACGCGCCTTCACACGAAGCGCTATAAATTCGAGAATAATCGACGAATCCGCTCCAAATAACCATCGGCTAATCTGCAGGTAACGTGTGCTCCTGCTTCTGGCTCGCTTGCTCCACAAAACCCATCGCAACTGCACAATAATTGCTCGCTCATCAACAACCACTGTTGACTTTTACGCTTCGATATGACCGCAAAACGACCAGGTTTAATACGCGACGTGAATATTCAAGCTTAGCGACCGCGTTCGCGCAACAATGCAGCACTTGCTATGGGAGGGATGGTACTATTGCTTCTAGGTCAATCGACTGACCGAAGGTTCGCTGCGTTAGTTTTGACCAGAAAACAAAAGGCGATCGCGGGACCGTCCGAAAGTTTTCAACAGGGCAGCCCTGGTTTTCAAGTTCGAACTCCTCTAACGTTCGCTGTCTCAGCCGGCTGTCACATTGTTCGTCCAGCCACTTGCATAGGTTCTTGACTCTACCAGACTGATTTGCTTACTTAACAACGTCTTACTCCATAATATGTTGTCCAAACTGGTGAAGGAGGACGAGAATTTTCCGCCCAGGAAAAAGGTAAAATTTGGCCCCCGCTATGCAGCTGAATAGAAGATACAGCTGAAGATATCGTAACGTAAAATTTATGTGCGCGATATCTTTTATTATTATTATTATTATTCTCAAAACTCAGGGGCACCCAACGATGATTTCCCCCTAAATGCATTGAAAACACATTTAAGGCTGTCCAGAGTACTTTTGATCGAAAAATGCATTCTAAACAGCGCTTACATAAATTTAGTCAGGAGGGCTAAAAGCGAAGCTAATGATTTATAGTTTGCTCATACTAAATATAAAATATATCGTGTAATGCTAAGCGGAGAAGGCAACGAGACAGGGCCACCCAACGACTGTTTCCTCAAATACTTTCAATTGAAAACACTTTTGTAGCTATTCATAAAGTACTTTTAGCTCTATAGAAATGCATGCTAAGTGGCGGTATAAAATTTACATCTCAGTCTTCGGCCATTCTAGAGGAACTTGAGTCTTCGAAATTACGAGGAATTCAGAATCATTTTCCCGAAAATTTTAGATGCAATTTAACGTATTACGAAGGAGATAATTTTTCGGATACCTTCTTTCATTACATTTTTGAATCCTAAAATTTTAGGATTCCATTTTACTCTCTACGAAAAATAGCCTAACCCAGCGAGTGAAATGTGAAAAATTAAAAGTTGGATGCCCTTGACCAGAACTGTGAAAAACAACAATAGGTCTGATTGCAGCACACTTTCTTGTACATTTCCTTGCCGTTGATTTGCATGACTGCAACGTGAAACGTCCAGAAAACTTCCTGGTTTTCACTTTTTATGGAGAAAATGTGGTACATGTTCTTGTTCACTTTTTCCACTGCCGCTCATTTTTTTTAGCTCCGCTATAATGTTCGTATCTGTTCGGTGCTCCTTGGGCAAATTGGATCTTTTTAAAAATTACAAGGGCTTCAATATTATTTTCCCGATTGATTGACCTGGAAGCAATAGTACCATCCCTCCCATAGCAAGTGCTGCATTGTTGCGCGAACGCGGTCGCTAAGCTTGAATGTTCACGTCGCGTATTAAACCTGGTCGTTTTGCGGTCATATCGAAGCGTAAAGGTCAACAGTGGTTGTTGATGAGCGAGCAATTATTGTGCAGTTGCGATGGGTTTTGTGGAGCAAGCGAGCCAGAAGCAGGAGCACACGTTACCTGCAGATTAGCCGATGGTTATTTGGAGCGGATTCGTCGATTATTCTCGAATTTATAGCGCTTCGTGTGAAGGCGCGTGGAGATGGTCTGTTTGTTTTGTAGCCAGCCTTTAATTCTTCTTTAGTGGATAGTACCTACAATTTCAAAACTCAACAAAATTCCACTTAAACCGGCCAGGAAAGACAAGCATACGTTCAGTTGAAGGTATCTTAGCTTTGTTTTGTTATATTTTGACTTTTAGACTATTTTAGTCCATGGGAGTTTCGACGACTCATCGCATTAATTTGTCCATGTGGATATTAATATATTCATTCAGTGACACATACTACGTCTGGGCCGCCTGTGATAAAACAAGAAATTGTTGTGAATTGGGAAGCATTCTTTTGATTTGTATATCCAGATAAAGTTCTTAGCTATAAGACATCAGAAGTTTATATGGAGCTTAAAGGAAGTGCTGTACTGTCGCAATTTGTAATAATCATCGCACTTTGTAATACCTGTCGCGATTTGTAATAAATCCATCGCACTTTGTAATACCTGTCGCAATTTGTAATAAACCGTGTCGCACTTTGTAATAGAAAAGCTGTCGCAATTTGTAACAACTGTGCATCGCACTTTGTAATAAACTAAGCTGTCGCAATTTGTAATGATTCCATCGCACTTTGTAATAACTTTTTGAGAGTAATTAAACTTACTTCGTCAACATTAATATAACATCAAAACATGCATGGTACTTCATAAACAAAGATGGAGATGACGTCTGCAAGCACGTAACATCTCCGCTCATTCAAACATTTAACTTTATTCACAGTCCTAAACATTTTTTTAGATTAATGTTGATCAGTTATCTGACTTACGAAATGCTGTATTCTTGAACCTTGCTATTGTACTAGGTGGCTTGCATTCAATGGTTACCCGGCGGGTGTACTTCCTTATATGGCCAATACGGGGATGTGCCTCTGGACAGGGCATTGCCAGAGTAGAGGATCTAGACAGAGCTAGACACACTAGACACAAACAAGCCATTATTAAAAAACGTTTAATTTCCGCTAATCGTAACATCCATCCTACATCGTTCGAATAAGGACACCAGGGGAGTTCAAGCTTTCCTTGTTAGATCTTATAACAGGTTGACACATCACGTGGTACACCGTTCTTGTCTAACGAGCAATCTTAAAGAAGTAATAGTGGCTTCCATATTTTGGCCAACCTAATCAAACGAGGCCTGGAAAGATTCAAAATGTTTACTGCAAATGAAAAAAAACGTCATCAGTGGCAAACCTTCGAACCACTGTAACAGAAACCTAAACACAAAATCCAATTAGTCGCTGGCCAATACCTTCGTATGTACCTGTTTTTATAACACTCACTTGGGGTCTTACACTGAGCCGGCTGGGCATTTGGTCCATTATTCTCACTTGATCTGGTCCAATATAGGAACAAAAGGAGTACTCATTCCATCTTAAAACAATTGTTTTCCGTAAGGAGTCCTCTGAAGAAAATACCATGGGGATGGTAAAAAAATTACCCTTCCCTGCGTATATACAACTCGTAAGACCTTGCAATTCTTCCGAGCGTGTTCTGGATTACTGTTTTTCTACAAAATGGAAAGGATGGAATAAACCATCCATTACTACTTGAGTTACCCTATCTAAGGATCAAACCAAAGATACAAGGCCAACAACGTAAAAAATGATACCCAATTAAAGGCTCGAGATCCTCAAAAACCATACCCTATCAGGCGGTACTTACCTATCTAGCCCATCCATATATGGGATTATCCCCCCCCCCTCCCGCCGAAGACTTCACGTGTCACGTGGACGACGAATGCCAGGTTACTCAACGATAAACAGCTCAGAAATATTCTCTGATTCATTCAACGTGCAGAGGAGAGATCGTTCAAGACATGGTGGTGGAGTTCTCTTGGCTGTTCACGAGGGTTTGTGCTGCATTAGAAGAACAGATTTCTAAACTGATTGTGAAATTTTATGGTGCGAGATAATTGTTATGAAACCTTATTCAAGAGTCCTGGTAGGGGTATTTTACAGACCTCCTTTGAGCGACATCGACTACTTGAAAGAGTTGGAAAGATCTTTATCGCTTATCGAACGTAGTGTTAATAATCTAAGTATCCTTTTATTGGGTGACTTCAATCTTCCCCAAATTGTCTGGTCCACCCCATCACCTACGTGTCCTGACAGTTTGCCGTCTACTTTCTGCGCTATCATTGCGGATTACTTTCTTCACCAGTTGGTACTTCAACCTACCCGCGAACAAAATATTCTCGACTTGGTTTTCATCACAGCCCCGGAGCTGGTAAAGGATCTGGAAATTTGTCAACCTGTTGGGGGATCTGATCATTGTTCCATTGAATTCAAACTAAAATTAAAGTTTCAGAGACCAGTACGTAGTT